GCAGCAGCAGCAGCAGCAGCAGCAGCAGCAGCAGCAGCAGCAGCAGCAGCAGCAGCAGCAGCAGCAGCAGCAGCAGCAGCAGCACTTTGAATGTTTCGAGGGCCTTGCAAATGTCTCCGGAAAAGAAAAGAGACTGAGCCAAGGAGACACTCGGGGCCAACAAGTTGCTGCTGCCCAGCGCGAAGGCCCCCCGCACCCGCACTGCTTCCCCGTAGTCCTGCGCAAACCCTAAACCCTAAACCCTAAACCCTAAACCCTAAACCCTGGGCCCTGGCCTGGAGGCGGGAGGCTCACGCGCCCTCGCGCCTGCTCTGCGGCCCCCCAAACCCTAACCCCTAAACCCTAAACCCTAAACCCTAGACCGGGGGCTGAGAAGCCCCACGCGCCTGCGCGGCTGCTCCTCAGTGCTGCGCAAACCCTAAACCCTAAACCCTAAACCCTAAACCCTTGGGGAGCGACGCAGGCGCGTCAACTCCCCGAAGGCCGGCGCAAACCCTAAACCCTAAACCCTAAACCCTAAACCCTAAACACGGACTTCGATCCCGGAACAGAGTGCTTTGCAAACCTAATGCGCCCGCCTGCGTCCTCGCCAGCGCGCCTAGGGTTTAGGGTTTAGGGTTATGGGTTTACTTCTGTTGCGTCTTGAAACCTATTATTCATTAGCTGCAAATCTCCCAGGCGCATGCAAGCAAAAGAAAGGTCTGTTGCTGCAGCAACGATCTCCTCACGCGACAGAGTTGCTGCTGCTGCTGCTGCTGCTGCTGCTGCTGCTGGATCTGTTGCTGCTGCTGCTGCTGCTGCCGGATCTGTTGTTGCTGCTGCTGCTGCCGGATCCGTTGCTGCTGCTGCTGCTGCTGTGGCTGTAGCATCTGCTTTGGGCGTTTCAGCCTTCGGCGCTGCCGGCGTCTCTGCCTCCGGTTTTGCTGCTGCTGCTGCTGCTGCTGGTCCTGCTGCTGCTGCTGCTGCTGCTGCTGCTGCTGCTGCTGGTTCTGCTGCTGCTGCTGCTGCTGCTGCTGCGGGTTTGTAGTTGAGCAAAGTGGCAAGACACTTCTTGGCCAGCTCCAGCATCTGGAAAGCCAATTCATCGTCAGCCACTTCTCCCTCATCTTTCTTTTCTGCTGCTGCTGCGCTGCTGCTGCTGCTGCTGCTGCTGCTGCTGCTGCTGCTGCTGCTGCTGGCAGCAGCGGTCTTCGCTGCAGAAGGCGCAGCACACAGTTTCCTCAGCAGCTCAGCGTCGCGCCGCAGCCCCCAAACCCTCCAATCCCCAAACCCCAAACCCTAAACCCTAAACCCTAAACCCTAAACCCTAAACCCTAACCTTGCGGAAGCTGGGCGAGGACGTCGTCTTTGCTTTCTTCCAAAGACAAAAGAGCATCTCCAAACCACAAATACAAAACCCCCATTTGAGGGTTTAGCTCCGAGCAGCCCGTGGCGCTCAGCCTGGCCCACATAAACGCCGCAAGGGTTTAGGGTTTAGGGTTTAGGGTTTAGGGTTTGGGAGGCGCGCCAGGGCAAATGAAATGCAAAAAGCCAACGAAGCGAAGCAGCAAACAGCCAAGCAGCTGCGCAGAATAAAGATTAGGGCAAGCTAGGGTTTAGGGTTTAGGGTTTAGGGTTTAGGGTTTAGAAATTAAAAGTAAAAGAACTGCAGCAAGCACCTCTCGCGAATGGCCCTCGAGAAGAGATCTGCTGCAGCAGCAAAATCCTTGGCCTTCATTGCTGCTTTTCCTTTTTCAAAAAGCTGCTGCCCTGCGCGCGCAGCACATTTCATAAATGCTGCTGCTGCTGCTGCTGCTGCTGCTGCTGCAGTTGAGTTGCTGCTGCTGTTGAGCTAGTGCTGCAGTGGAGCTGCTGCTGCAGTTGCGCTGCTGATGCAGTTGCTGCTGCACGCCAGGCACTGCAGCAGCAGCAGCAGCAGCATTCGCAGCGACTGCAGCAGCAGCAGCAGCAGTGGCAGCAGCAGCACGAATGCCAGCAGCTGCCCGGACAGGAGCAGCAGGCCGCAGCAGCAACAGCAACAGCAGCGAGAACAAGGGCACTAGCAGCAGCAACAGCAGCAGCAACAGCAGCAGCAACAGCAGCAGCAACAGCAGCAGCAGCAGCAAGCAGCAAATATACGAACAGGTAAGACCATCCAGCTCAGCAGCAGCTGCTGCTGCTGCTGCCTCAGTTTCGCTGCTGCTGTCATTTTCGCCTTCTCCTTCAGAAGACTCTGGCGTCGTTGAACCCTCCTGCTTCTCTTGCTGCTGCTGCTGCTGCTGCTGCTGCTGCTGCTGCTGCCCGTGGTGCTCTCGCTGCTGCTGTTGCTGCTGCTGCTGCTGCTGCTCTTCCTGGCGCTCCTGCTGCTGCTGCGTCTGCTGCTGCTGCTGCTGCTTCGTAGGGGCCAAAGAATTCGAAGTGCTGGGGGGCCCCCCTGTGGGGCCCCTCACTGGCTGCTGGGTCATTCTGGGGTTTCTGAGCAGCTGGGGGTTTCTCTGCTGCTGAGCGTGCTGCAGCAGCAGCAAAAATATATTTAATTTAATTTAATTTAATTTAATTTAATGTATTGAAAGAGTTCAGAAGAAAAAGCAGCAGCAGCTGCTGCTGCTGCTGCTGCTGCTGCTGCAGCAGAGGTGGCAGCAGCACCACCACCGCTCTCCAGACACCCCCCAAGATGAGCCATTAGGGCAAACATCTGTTTTAATTTATTTATTATTTTCAATTAATTAATTTATTTATTTATTTTTATTCATTTATATTCTTTTATTCTTTTTTGGCGCCTCTTGTTGTCTTGGTTTTAACTCTCTGAGCGCACCAACCCGAAACCCTAAACCCTAGCTTAGGGTTTTGCTCCCGCTGTTCTTTCAGTGTCCAAACCCTCATTGCTAAACCCCCAACCCTCAGCCCTAAACCCTAAACCCTAAACTGTGGAGAGCCCCTATAGAGCAGCAGCAGCAAACCGCGCTATGTAGCTACCGCTGAGGCTGCACGAGGGTTTAGGGTTTAGGGTTTAGGGTTTCCGCAGAAACTGTACTCTATTGCTGCTCCAATCAAACACCCCACCAAATCGCCGCCTGCCCTAGGGTTTAGGGTTTAGGGTTTAGTGTTTGCGGCGGTTCCTAGCTTGCCACTGCAGCAGCAGAAGTACCACCGAGGCGCTCAGCAGCAGCAGCAGCAGCAGCAGCAGCAGAAGCAGCAGCAGCAGAAGCAGCAGCAGCAGAAACAGCAGCAGCAGCAGCACCTCTATACTCTCCCTCGGTCCCCAGCCGCGCTGGCAGAGACCGGCCCCACCCCGACCCAGCTAGCCAGCTAATTGCTCGGCTAGCTAGCTAGCTGCTTACTTGACTGGCTAGCTAGCTAGATATTTCCCTGGCTAGCTAGCTAGCTAGCTAGCCAGTTACTCCTCTGGCTAGCTAGCTAAGCCGCTGCCTGCCTCTTAAGCTAAAGACCTCCCTGGCTAGTCAGCCAGCCAGCTCCTCCACTAGTAAGCTAGCCAGCTACCTAAGCAGCTACCTGGCTAGCTAGCCAGCTAGCTAGCGAGCTAGCTAGCTAGCTAGCTAGCCAGCTAGCTAGCTAGCTAGCCAGCTAGCTAGCCAGCTAGCTAAAGAGCTCAAGAAGCAAAAAGAAAGTGACAGAACCGTTCGTCGACTAAAAGCGTTGAAATAAAAAGCCAAGGGACAAGCGCCGCAAAGAAAGACAACACAAGCCACTCAAACGCCCACGGCAGTCAGCTAGCTAGCTAGCTGGCTAGCTAGCTAGCTGGCGAGCTAGCTAGCTGGCGAGCTAGCTAGCTAGCTGGCGAGCTAGCTAGCTAGCTGGCGAGCTAGCTAGCTAGCTGCCAGGCCATGTGCGAGCGGCTCGCCAGCACACTGGCTGGTGAGCCCGTTAAGTTAGCTAGCTATGCCGTTGGCTAGCTAGCTAGCTAGCTAGCCAGCTAGCTAGCTAGCTAGCTAGCTAGCGAGTCAAGTAGCCATCAAGTCAATGTTGACAAGGTAGACAGGAAAACCCCAAGACGCAGGCCGTCCACCGTTGCTGCGAGCATTGCTGCGGCATCCGCCGCTGCTGCTGTTGCTGCTGTTGCTGCTGTTGCTGCTGCTGCTGTTGCTGCTGCTGCTGCATTTTCGCTGCTGCTGCTGCAGTCCAGTGCTGCACTAGATGAAGAAAAAAAGAAGCACGGGGAAAGCCTCACGCGGTGTCTGTACAGCCGAGGCCCCACAGAAAAGCCGCTGCAGCAGCAGCAAAACAATTAAACTAAAAGCGAGAGTCTGCTGCTGCTGCTGCTGCAGCAGCAGCAGCAGCAGCACACTCGAAGATCCTTCAGAAGCATTTCTTCCACTCAAGACCTCAGGCAGCTCTTCTCTGTTCAAAGAAACCTTCCCAGCTGCTGCTCCTCGCAAGAAGAAAAGCTAGCCAGCTAGCTAGCTAGCTAGCTAGCCAGCTTGTTAGCTAGCTGGCTAGCTAGCTGGAAGGATAGCCACCAGGGTAGTTTGCGAGATGGCTGGCTAGCTAGCTAGCTAGCTGGCTAGCTGGTTGGCTAGCTAGCTAGCTAGCTAGCCACGACTAGAGCCAGTCAGCGCTGGCCGTTGTTCTGTCTCCTTTTGCTGCCCCGGGGTCTCCGCCTTGTGCCTCTGCTGCAGCCCTCTGCTGCTGCTGCTGCTGCTGCTGCTACTGCTGCTGCTGGTGTTGCTGCTGCTGCAGTTGACAAACTGCCTAGGCATTTCGAGACCTCTAGCGACGGCCACTGCTCAGTATCGCTTGCCAGCTCCTGCAGCAGCTGCTGCTGCTGCTGCTGCTGCTGCTCGTGCTGCTGCTCGTGCTGCTGCTCCGTCTTGTGCTGTTTCTGCTGCTTCTGCTGCTGCTCTGTCTTGTGCTGTTTCTGCTGCTTCTGCTGCTCTGCAGTGTTGGGCTGAAAGTCTTCAGTTGCTGCTGCTGCTGCTGCTGCTGCTGCTGCTTTTTTGGTAGCCCCTCCAAGCAGCGGGGCCTCAGCAGCAGGCAGTGTTGCTGCTGCCTCGGTCTCTTTGCTGCTGCTGCCT